TTTTGTAAATGATAATTTTTAATTTGTTCCTGCACTATACATGTATCCGAACACCTGCATCACATTGGGCTTGCGTCATGTACCCAACTTAAGTAGTAAAGTACTAGTTTTACCATTGGCATTATCATTTTAGATTTCACTACACGTGCAGTAGGATACTAGTGTGCATATTTGCATATACACATGTATGTCGGTAGGAATTATTTCATTTTGTGTTTTAACTGGATTATATATCATGAAGATGACGGCCTAAGTAATAACAATCGGTAGGTACAAGTTTCTGGTTCCAGACCAGAATTTCCTGAGAAGCAAGAAAAAAAAGAAGTTTTGGTTTGCTCTGTTTTCTAGGGTGGAGGGACACTTAGGGCATCCAAAGTCATTTTTATTTCCTCCAGTATATATTATAGTCCTGCAAATTCCGGGGGAAGGGGGGGGGGGGGGTTGAGGGGGCGATCTCCCAATCCACTTCCCTGTCATGACAATGATAATGTGACTCCTAAATAGTAGGAAATTTTTTCCATTTGACTATACATAATATTGTTTCTTGTGTTATTATGTTATGTAAATTGAATGGTATAAAGGTTATGAACCCCTAGAGGTCATCCCCACTCTCCTTATGAGCTGGAAATGTTCACAATAAGACTGCATTAAATTAAATAAAAGTGCATCAATGATAAACATTTTTTTTGCATACATGAAGAAACAGGGGTCTGGGAAGGGGTGAGGGGAAGGATCGAGTTAATATTTCTTTACGTCTTAATGGCTGAAAACTCTTAAAATGAATGTTGACCTCAAAGCCAACTTGTCCTCATTATTTTTCAAATGGTGGTGTCTCCATATGAGTGAAAAATTCCTGTGAGGGATGTTTAACAACAAACAAATGAAATAAATACACAATATTGATTTGCGTTAAGAAATATGCAGGGGATTTTTTCCATCATAAATCTTCTTCTCAAAAACAGCAAGGGCATTCTTGTCCCCCATTTTGGGGAAAGGGAGGGGACACTACATCTCATTTGTCTGCCAGTCTTTCCATCTTATTGACAGCTAGTATGTGCATCTGTCACAATAAATTCAACCTTGGTCATAACTTTTGAATGATAAGAGATAGTGCTTTCATATTTCACATGCACATTACCACAAAACTTTCTAAATATACTATGATTTTTTAACCCAAGTGAGACCTTGACCTTAAAGTTTTACCTACTTTCCAAAAAATAGCATTTTAAATTGATCATTTTGAAAGAGAAAAGAAAGGACATTCAAATTATACATGTTTATTACATGTGAAAAGACTTTTCTAAATATATCACTACTTTTGACTCTGTGACCTTGACCTATAAGTTTAACCTACTTTTCAAAAATATTATATTGTATGTATAATTTTTGATTCAAAAGAGATAGGACTTTCATATTTGACATGTACATTACCTGCAACAAAATGTTTCAGAGCATGCTATAATTTTTTCCCCTTTGATCCAATTTTCAAAAATTGATATATGATAGGGGTGCATTTTTGACACACAATCTGCCATAAATTATGGTATCTCATTCACTAAAACACAGAAAGCAGAGGACCACAATTCTTTGAATTTCCTTGTATAATCTTGATAGATGGAAACATGCTCATATAATTTAGATTCAAGTTTTGCCACACCCTGATTAGGAATACATGTATAGTTTTTGTCATGTCCGTCCTCGACACTTCCATCTGTCTTTCCATCGGGCTCAAGTAAACTTTCTAGATATTTTTATCATAGTTCATAAGTTGATGCATACTGATGTAAAAATCCGACTGCAGCAATATTTCTTGTCTTTGACTTTTCCTTTGACCTTCAGTTAACTTTTCTTTAAATTAGTGTTTAGCTTTATTTTAAAAAAACCATTCAAGTTGTGTAATGAAACTTCACATGATGATACATACTGATGTAAGCTTAACGATGCTTCACTCTTTTTTACCTTGACCTTTCCTGTGCCCTTGACCTCACTTTTCTAAAATTAATGTTTAGACAAGTTTTGAATAAACAATTCAAGACATATTTATAAAACTTCATATGCTGATACATACTGCTAAGAGCTATTAATATGTCAACTTATTTTGACCTTGAATTTTCGTTTGACCTTGACCTCACTTTTCAAAATATCATTAATCGACACCATTACCCCCCCCCCCCCGGGGCAAAATCGAAATTCCAAAACCTTACTGTACATCTACAGCACACCACCAACCATCTCCCAAAAGATGCTGAGTAAAATGTAGAGGGAGTTCAGGGAAGATGGGGCTTTTTGCATAAAAAACGTCATTTTTCGACCCCCATTTGACCCCCCGGGGCAAAATCAAAATTCCGAAACCTTACTGCACATCTACATGACACCACAAACCATCTCCCAAAAGATGATTAGCCTACTTTGTAAAATGTAAGAGGAGTTCAGGGAAGACGGGGCTTTTTGCATAAAAAACGGCTTTTTTCGACTCCCATTTGACCCCCCGGGGCAAAATCAAAATTCCGAAACCTTACTGCACATGTACTTGACCCAAGCAACCATCTCCCAAAAGATGATAAGGCTGCTGAGTAAAATGTAAGAGGAGTTCAGAGAAGACGGGGCTTTTTGCATAAAAAACTTAATTTTTCGACCCCCATTTAACCCCCCGGGGAAAAATCAAAATTCCGAAACCTTACTGCACATCTACATGATCCCACCAACCATCTCCCAAAAGGTGATTAGGCTGCTGAGTAAAATGTAAGAGAAGTTCAGGGAAAACAGGGCTTTTTAGTATAAAAACATTATTTTTCAACCCTAATTTGATCCCCTGGGGAAAAATCAAAATTCCGAAACCTTACTGCATATGAACATGACACCACCAACCATCTCCCAAAAGGTGATTAGGCTGCTGAGTAAAATGAAAGAGGAGTTCAGAGAAGACGGGGCTTTTAGCATAAAAACATCATTTTTCGACCCTCATTCGACCCCCCGGGGCAAAACCTAAATTCCAAAACCTTACTGCACATCTACATGACACCACCAACCATCTCCCAAAAGATGATTAGGCTGCAAAATAAAATGTAAGAGGAGTTCAGGGAAGATGGGGCTTTTTGCATTAAAAAAAATGTTATTTTTCGACCCCCATTTGACCCTCCGGGGCAAAATCAAAATTCTGAAACCTTACTGCACATCTACATGACACCACTAATCATCCCCAAATGGTGATTAGGCTGCTGAGTAAAATGTAGAGGGAGTTCAGGGAAGATGGGACTTTTTGCATAAAAAAAACGTCATTTTTCGACCCCCATTTGACCCCCCGGGGCAAAATCAAAATTCCGAAACCTTACTGCACATCTACATGACACCACCAACCATCTCCCAAAAGATGATTAAGCTACTGTGTAAAATGTAGGAGTTCAGGGAAGAAAAGTGTGACAGACGGACGGACGGGCATGAGTAACAACAATATACCCGAACTTTCTTTAGAAAGTGCGGGTATAAAGACGTTAATGGTAATCTAACAACCAAGCTCTGTGATAAATGTGATGACTTTAACTTGTCTATCGTCAATTTCCCTTCATTACGAAGTAATATACCGTCATCACCTGCATACTGTGTTTATATATTAGTATCTCAGTTGATACAATACACAAGAGCATGCTCCTATTTTGTATTTATTTATGGATTGTGATATTGAATACTGCTTGTTTTCCTGATATCCTTCATTTGTTAAAAAATATTATGATTGTTCACACCACACAAGTTTTTTGAAGTTGATATAAAAAAGATACGTTAATTTTAATCTAACAACCAAGCTCTATGTTAAATTCCAATATTTAATTTCAAATTCGTCAACTTCCCTTATTATAAAGCAATATACCTTTATCACCTAAATACGGAGTTTATATATCTCAGTCAATTCGATTTACGCAAGAGCATGCTCTACGTATGAACAATTTTTAAAACGAGGTAAACTATTGACAAACAAGTTGATGAAACAAGAATATCAACGGTCATTATATTTTGTAAGTTCTGTTGTCGAAACAATGGCGTTGTCAGCCAAGATACATACGGTAAAACACGGTTATAGCGAAGTCCTGGGGACCTGTTAATTTAATTCGCTTTATCCGTAATTCGTTATATCCGTATAACGAATTCATATAACCATATACAGCGAATTCACAATATGCATGTTTTCCATCAAGTGTTACTATCAAATATGGTAGGAAAGCAAATATTATAAAACATACCTTCAAAAACTAAGGTTTTATTATGAATTGAATTTTATATACAGACGCTGAGAGAAATAAAGTCAGTCCAATTATTCAAATTTTGAAATCTTTGAAAGTTCGTTATAAAAGATGTAAAATGCATTATACTTAACCTCAACGGGACTCAAAATCAGTTCGCTATATCCGTAAATTCGTTATATCAGAGTTCGTTATAACCGTAAAATTTTACAAAGATTTGTTAAGAATTTTGCTGGGGACCCAGAAACGCTTCGTTATATCCGTGAATTCGCTATATCCGTGTTCGTACTAAACGTGTTTTACTGTATAATTTATTATTGAGTCAAATGATGATTGACGTTTTTCATACACATTTTTAGTTCATTATTTATACTCTGAAATGACGACAGAATTTTCCTTTATTTCTTGATCATGACAAGGAGCATACGGCAGGGATGCTCACTCCTCCCTGGCACCTGATCCCACCTCTGATGTTTTGGATGGCCACATTTGCTTTGCCCCCTTTTGTATTGTTTTATGGAGTTTTTGATCTTGAATACAGTTCGTTATCTCCATATGTTTCATAGTAAACGAAAATTGACACAATTGTCTAAAAGTGGTACATTCAATTCTTTAGGTCTTTTCTGCCGTTTTTCAAAGAAATATTTTTTTCTGAATAAAACCCCTACATCGAACACTTCTAAAGAATTAAAAAAAAATTAAAAAGAAAATTATGAAGAACCTGCGAATTGTATATAAAAAATATAGCCTTGTAAAAATGCAAAACGGAAAAGGTTATCAATCTTCAATTGTGATCAACTTTGCTCAAATTATTTACATAATTTTCGAGATATTTTTTAAATATTCTTGTAAAATTAATCGGGTAGGCACAAAACTACAAAATAAGATGTTCTTCTCTCTTGCAAATATTTGTTCACCATACCAAAGCACTCTGAGTTAGTGCCAAGTCCTCCAAAACATTGTCTGTTGCTCAACGTCTTCTTGTTATGTCCTGTTTATTTTCTTGCACTGCAGCAAATGCCTTTTTCAGTGCCTCTGTGGCAGGAGCATTATGGTTCACTAGATGTATTTCTTGAAGCCTTGGATTCTGATCTATTTGTTTTGAGAAGTCCAAAATGGAATGACACACAACATCAGCATACTGTTGTAAATATTCTGTATTTTTAATAGAGCCTAAAATAGGAGGCCAATATTGAATTTACAAAATTGCTTAACTATCATATAGAATCGCTGCTCTATTACACTTTTGTACTTTGGAATAAATGTAATACATACTTGTACCGAGCAGAGGCATGGCGATTGATAATGGTTTGACTTTCTTTTTCTTCTTATTTGCCTTCTCAAGGATATTTGATGTTGTTTTCCACAACATATCTAAGCCTTCAGTCTGTGGTTTTTCATTTCTTAATTATTGCATAAAATACTGATTTGTAATGACGAAATCCGGTTATCAGTGGTAGTACCTGAGACCATTGAATGTGATTTGCTTCTTTAAAGAGTTTTGAAATATCCTTTTTTTGGTTTTTGGTGGCCTTTTCTAGGATTTGTTTGGCAAGGAAACCTTGTCCATGTTGATCACGGCCTTCTCCACAAACAAGCACACTGATATTCACCAATTCAATAATGTTTTCCTGATAAATGTGTACTCTTAAACTTCCTCCTACAAGATATTCGTCACTTCCTTTGGCATCCCTTTGCAAGACTTTTACACACATCGAAGAATTTGGAAGACATTGAGGATTCTTTGGAGATGCTATTTGGTTATATCCTGCACCCGATGATGAACTCCTGAACTCAACGGCAGATAACGGTAAGTGTGAGCCACCATAATCCTTGGGATGTCCTACGTCCCTAGCCGCTGTTGCTTGACGCTCGTTCACTTTTTGTGGTTCTAAATAATCTCTTCTCTTGATTAGATAATCACGATATTCCCTGCTTATTGATCCTAGCATATCGTCTTTATCGTCTACAAGATTAATTTGGGTAGGAAGATTGACTTTCATAAAACGTAAAAATGTTTTGAAGCAAAATGTTCTGACAGATCATTTTAAAACTACAAAAACTATCCAATATTACCTTTGCGTACTTACCCGGCTCTTCCTTCATTATTTCCGTCTGTATTTTGCTTTTAGCATCTTCCAGCGTGTGTTCTTCCCCACAATGATGTTTCTGTGCACAATCTTCACAATGTGACTTACAACAGTCATTACAATAACGCTGAGCAAATTGTGAGCAGTTGCTGCATTTCACGATGTCCTGTCCTTGGAATGATGGTAAATCCTGTAAAATGTGCTCAAAAAATGTATTAAAAAATGAAGCCACGTGTAGTTTCATATATCGAATTCGAAACCCAGTTTATATGCATATATCCCTCATTGAAATACAGTGCAACTCCTGAGAGTATTGTCGCATATAATGGGATCCTTCATGTGTATACATGTACACGTGGGGAAATATAGAGAAACATGATCATGGGAGCAGTTAGAATTCAAACCAAACTGCGTCAAAATCGAGTGCATAATCCAGAGGAATATACTGATTACTTTTAAGATTTAAATATATAGTTATCTACATTCTTAAAAAACTTTTTGTAGTCATATCACATTAGATTGTTAAAGAACATGCTTATATTTTCATCCGAACAATGAATAAGAGGTGTACCTTTCCATAATGCTATTAACTAATTGATACTTCAGTTCAATTAATGTTACTCTAATAATAAAAAGACAAATTTATACAATCAAGCGCATTGAAGTTGTAAAACTTTTCGTTGGAATGGAAAGTTTGGGTGTTTCTTATCAGACGTCAATTGTTATTTAATGACACGCCCTTTTCTTTAAAAACTTGAATGAAATATTCGTCGTAATGCTTTAGAACATTCATTCTTTGTGATTAGCAACATGAGATGCATTAAAATAGAGCATTTATAAAAATAGAACGGAGAGTTAAAGACACGACATATCCCTTCCCAAGGGGAGATAATCAAGAAAAGGCAAAAATAGGGTTGGGTCATTAAAAAAGCTTCTTCTAAAGAACCACTGGGCCAGTAAAGCTAAATCTTATGTGGAAGCATCATTGGGTAGTGTACATTCTAAATTGTTCAAATCATGACCCCCGGAAGAAGGGCGGGGCCACAATGGGGAATCAAAGTTTTATATAGGAATATATAGGAAAAATCTTTGAAAATCTTCTTCTCAAGAACCACTGGGCCAGAAAAGCTGAAACTTATGTGGAAGCATCCTGGTATAGTGTAGATTTTAAATTGTTCAAATCATGACCCCCGGGGGAAGGGCGGGGCCACAATGGGGAATTAAAGTTTTAGATAGAAATATATAGGTATAAATCTTTGAAAATCTTCTTCTCAAGAACCAATGGGCCAGAAAAGCTGAAACTTATTTGGAAGCATCTTGGTATAATGTAGATTCTAAATTGTTCAAATAATGACCCCCGGGGGAAGGGCGGGGCCACAATGGGGAATCAAAGTTTTATATAGAAATATATAGGAAAAATCTTTGAAAATCTTCTTCTCAGGAACCACTGGGCCAAAAAAGCTGAAACATATGTGCCCATGAAAGGATCATGGGTAGTGTAGACTTCAAAATGTCTAAATTCTGATCAGTGGGTAGGGTGGGGATGCATTATGTATAACAAAGGGGAAATCTGGTAAAGAACAGAATGGTCAATGCTTCTCAGGTGAGCGATGTGGCCTCTTGTTATATTTCTTTTCAATAATTTCTATTTCCTGGTACCATTACCCTTTCATCAGCTCTAATTTCTTCCTCTGTAAAATCAAAGAAAATGTATGAAAATTAATTTTAAATCATTTAAAAATGTAAGAAGAATGAAAGTATAAAACCATTTTTTTATTGATAAAAGGTATCAGAAGAATGACTCTTTGTACAAGTAATTATAGAAGGTACAGTTTCTTTGTTGTTGCTTGATACATTAATTTTTATATTTTGCAGATGTTTTCCATATAAAGCAGTTAACAACGCGTATCTTCAGGTTTCTCGAGATTTAAATCGAGGGTTGATCTAAAAGTTCGTGGAATTTCTTTATGGTCGTTTCTCATCAATTCGTGGTACCCATTGATTCGTGGTATTTTCTTTTTCCGTCATTGCGCACGCGTAATGCACTATTCCAGAAATTTATTTTGAGAAATCGAAAGCAGAGTTCCTGATGTAAGCAAAGGGGTATAATTCAACTAAAATGACGGAAAATTCGGTACACAATGCAAAAAATATATAAATAATGCTTACATCCATTTTATATGCTTTGGGGTGACATACCTGTTTTCCTAAAAATCGCTAAACGGGTACAAAATAGTAGATAAATGGATTTCAAACGAATTTCCAAATGTCGTCTGCATGATTGACTGTTTATATCAAGTGCTATTGATGGGTATTGAATAAAGTATGGAAAGTTGCTAGCGTTAAAAATCAGTGGGGTTTTTTTTCACCGTAACCAGCAGCCAAATAACAAGTGCTGTAAAAACTATAAGATATTCGTCCTTCAATTAAATTAATTTCTCTCTTTTTGCATCAGGAATTAAAATATAAATAAATATTCCATATTAAAACTAATTTTCAAATATTTTATTCCTTATTATAAATTAAAAAAATCTTCTTAAATCATCTTTTGCGTGCGTGTTATGTATTTTTTCTGCAATTATCTTTAGAAAATTATATAAAGGTATTTGCAATAAATTAAATAATTTTTGGAATGAAACATCGATTTTTGTCAATATTTATATCTTTTTTATTTAGTATTTGTGCCCGAAATAGCACGCCATACCAATAGTTCAGATTTTGATGACGTACCACGAATCAATGAGACGCTTGATTTTTCTACAGTGGTGTAAACACCACACATTTTAAGGTGAATTTTGACACAGAGAAGTGATGAAATTACACAACTGTGTACTAAACAAGAGATAAGATCCTACTATTATTAAATCACAATAAAATTAAGCTGAAAGTTTTGTTAATCGATTTTATTTTACTACGAATCGGTAAGTACCACGAATCCATGATATACCAGGCTATATCTTAAATTTATTTATAAGTGAAATTGTTTGAGAATTACTAACGAGAATAAAGACACTTGTTGAATATTTTAAGTAAAAAAGCGTTGAATATTTAGGACAGTAACTTTATGGCAGTTGCCATAGTAACGGTTGTTTGGAAACGCGGGGGAGATATAGACATGTTAATTATCATTTTACTTCTTTATACATGAAATGAGAAATAATTATAATCTTCCCTATGTGGTATACAAAACGATAATTATGTCATTACTCGATCTTTTATAAACCTTTGTGTGAGAATTGTACTGATTTTACTGGATATTTTGTGTATATTAGTCGATGATTTATTTTTCATATCTAAGTTGTAATGCAACGTCTTATTTCGGCCAAGTCATAATTTTGTAAAAAAAAAAAATATATAAATTAACTCCAATATTGATACCTTTAGTAACTATCCTTTGTGCATCATCTGAGTCTTCGTCACTTGAGCTATCGATGACGCTGATATTGCCTACAGGACAAGCCATCTTCTACGCATAAAGAATGTGTGATGTGTTTGTGAAACACTATGCGCCCGGCGACAACAAAGTTCGAAAAAGCAATTTTTTGGCATATAGGTCACAGTCAAATTCATAAGTCATGGGCCTTGTTGGCATTGGAAAGGAGTTTTAAAATTAGTGGAGAATGCATATCAAATATGAAGTCTCTATCTCCTATAGTTAAAAAATAATGGCGAAAGTTCGAAAAAGCTATTTTTAGCATATAGGTCACAGAGAAGGTCACAAAGTCATTGACCTTGGCGTCATTTAAAAGAGCTTAATAATCTGAGTATGTATACCAAATAATATGAAGACTATACTCATAGGTTCAAAAGTAGTGACAAAAGTTTGAAAAAGGTATTTTTAGCATATAGGTCACAGTCAAGGTCATAAGGTCATTGTCTTTGGTGTCAGTTGTAAATGCTTAATTATTGGAGTATGCATACTAAATATGAAGTCTCTATCTTTCAAGGTTAGACAGTTATGGCGAAGGTTAAAGTTGACAACGGACAGACAAAAAGACAGACAAACAGGACAAAAAAATATACGCCACGGATCTATCGATTCGGGCGCATAAAAACAGCAGCAATATAACCATAAACTTAGTCCCCTATGTAGCTGTCATAATATGCTCAAAAGAAGATGCACATTAGATAGAGTTGTTTTAGGCTACTCGATTTAATCAACTGTTCTTTTATGTCATATGTTTAATATCAATTTCTTTTACACGAAGAATGTTGTTTGTGCAGATTCTTTATGAAGTTTTCAGTGTATTCTAACCATGCTTTAATCGATTGTCATTATAGACAAACAGTGGTAGGAATGAATTTAATTTTTTTAAATACTAGGGACATGCACATGTATGCTCAAGGAGGAGAAATATTTTTTTTCAAATCTCAGATGTTTTGCCTGTAGAATATGTTTTGTAATTGTAGATTTAAATCTTTTCTAATTGCACTCTTACCGAAGATGAATAGAAACAATTAATTCGTTAGGTATCTGAATTTATTATAGGAGACACCCTAGTTTAGCTCTATTGCAGTAACAATGGTTATTAATCCATATGCAGTCTGTTCGTTTGTTCAAGATGCAAATCTCTATTGTGAGTTGTTGCATGCAGAGGATGACTTACGAAAGTCGATCCAAATTTATGAAACAACTGCTATGAAATATTTAAAATCTTATCCATTTTAACTGTTGCCCTAAAGATCTTTCATTCAGATATATACAATACTTTCAAAACTATAAGCATATACTCAATGTAGGGAATATATCCGCATAGGCGGAAGGTATAATAGTATTAAACATAGTAAAAACGTATTTATTCCAGCACTCAATTTTGAATGTGATGATATACTAGAACATTAAATAAATGCAAAAAGTAAATAACGACCGGTCATATTGTTGCCGTGCGACAATTGACAAAACCTAAAGTTGTGTTTATCTTCATAAATATAGATACAAGAGGCCCATGGGCCACATTGCTCACCTGAGCGCTGTGGCTAGATAAAAGTATACATTGGTTTATAATTGAAAAAGTAAAATTCAAAAGTAATCCCATGAACAATCATGGATTTTCTATCTTAGAGAAGATTTTTAAAGAATTTTTCTATATATTTCTATGTAAAACTTTGGTCGGCCATTTTGGCCCCGCCCTACCCCCGGGGGTCATGATTTGAACAAACTTGAATCTACACTACCTGAGGATGCTTCCATATAAATATGATGAATTATGGTTGGGTCATTCTTGAGAAGAAGATTTTTAAAGAATTTTCCTATATATTTCAATGTAAGACTTTGGTTGGCCATTTTGGACCCGCCCTACCCCCGGGGGTCATGATTTGAACAAACTTGAATTTACAATACCTGTGGATGATTCAGTATAAATATGATGAATTATGGTTGGGTCATTCTTGAGAAGAAGATTTTTAAAGAATTTTCCTATATATTTCAATGTAAAACTTTGGTCGGCCATTTTGGCCCCGCCCTACCCCTGGGGGCCATGATTTGAACAAACTTGAATCTACACTACCTGAGGATGCTTCAGTATAAATATGATGAATTATGGCTTGGTCATTCTTGAGAAGAAGATTTTTAAAGAATTTTCCTATATATTTCTAT